CACATTAACCTCTGACCCACACATAGGGCAATTAAGCTGGCCTGGCACCCAGACACTCTTCCTTCATTCCACAGCATACCTACCACTTCCCAGGACAGGTCCCAAGAAACAGCACCCTCTGCCTTGCTGGACTGCTGCTGAGCCACACCTCTGGTCCTGGTGGCCTAACCTCTAGGGAATGTAAACAGATACCTCTTGCCACAGTGCCTACTTGCTGCAAGTTTCATTAGATTTTCCCAGAGGAAAGAGCATTTATGGCTCCCAGGGTGATCCAGTGGGATGAACAGGTCCACAGCCCAGGCAGCTGCTAGATCCAGACAGAGGTAGCAAGAGCAGCAGTCCTTTCGGTTCAAGCTGAACAACTCTCTCATTCCAGGTACAATAAAGGTAAGCAGTTAAATGGAATCTGAGTATCTAATAAAACTACTAAAAGCTGTCTATTCATTTCTCCAAAGAAGACATACAGATGGCCAAGAAGCACATGGAAAGCTGCTCAACATCACTAATTATTAGAGAAATGCAAATCAAAACTACAATGAGGTACCATCTCAAACCAATCAGAAATGGCCATCATCAAAAAATCCACAAACAATAAATGCCAGAGAGGGTATGGAGAGAAGGGAACCCTCCTACACTCTTGGTGGGAATGTAAATGGTACAGCCACTACAGAAAACAGTACGGAGGTTCCTTAAAAAAACAAAAATAGAGTTGCCATGTGATCCAGCAATCCCACTCCTGGGCATATACCCGGAGAAAACCAAAATTCAAAAAGATATATGCACCCCTATGTTCACAGCAGCACTGTTTACAATAGCCAAGACATGGAAACAACCTAAATGTCTTGACAGATGAATGGATAAAGAAGATGTGGTAAATATATACAATGGAATACTACTCATAAAAAAAGAATAAAATAATGCCATTTGCAGCAACATGGATGGACCTAGAGATGATCATACAAAGTGAAGTCAGCAAGAGAAAGACAAATATTTATGATATCACTTATATGTGGAATCTAAAATATGACACAAATGTGACCTTATTTATGAAACAGAGACAGACTCAGACATAGAAGACAAACTTACGGTTACAAAAGGGGAAAGGGGGTCGGGGAGGGATAAATAAGGAGTTTGGGATTAGAAAATACAAACTACTATATATAAAATAGACAAAACAAGGTCCTACTCCTACTGTATAGCACAGGGAACTATATTCAATATCCTGTAATAAACCATAATGGAAAAGAATATGAAAAAGAATTTGTGTATATGTATGTATAACTGAATCACTTTGCTGTACACCAGAAACTAACACAACATTGTAAAACAACTATCCTTCAATTTAAAAAAAAATTACAGAATATGAAAAAAAAATAACCTATTAACCACACTTTATTTTCTGCAGGCAACCTGAAGCTCTGGCAAAAGGGGAGATGCTCTGGATAGAAAAGCTTCCCATACAGAAGAGGATAGCGAGGCTTGTGCCCTGGGTCCACAATATCTGTTCTCCTGTCCATAAAGGCGCAGAATCTCTGGATTTTCTGATACAACCTTTATCATCTTTGGAGGCTGAGGGACTTCATCTAGCCTTAGAAATTTTCTCCTAAGCCAATCAGATTTTAAAAATTCCTTTACAATCACATAACAAAGATGCTGGTTTGAAAAAATAAGTACACAGCATTAAGAATGTGTGTACAGGGTGACTGTAAAGATAAGAGGAAACCATAGTGCCCTTAGAGAGTGGGACCAAAAGAGGCAGCAGGTTCAGAGGGGCGCGCCAGGGTAGTAGCCTCCCTGTGCTTTTGTTGGGAGAGCGGCGAGCTGAATGAACACAACCATAAACAGGAAAGGAGGCAAGGAAGATGCCACCTATTCTTCCTGTAGGGCTCGGCTCAGGTGTTCTCCTCCCTGGAAGCCTCCGTAACGCTGTCTCCCTTTGCACTAAGGTTAGGTCAAATCTGCTATGCACAATACCCAATGGCACTGAAGTTCTCTCTCTCAGGCCGAGACTGTGGGAGGGACTGTGTTCTGCGTCACTGGTCTGGCACAGTTCTTGGCATATATTATAGCAATCTTTATTGAGGTGGCTGTAAAACCCAATTTTATGCTCTCTCCTCAACTTCTGTTATGTAGGGCCACTGCCTCAAAAAGCTTCTCTATCCTCTGTCTAGGCAGATCCTGCCAGGCCCTGTCCCTGGCCCAGTGCAACTGAGATTCTCTTTCTGAGGCTTCTCGTTCAAGGAGCAGACTCCCTGCAATGAAAGGTATCAGCACCAAACAGTGTTCTTCATAAAGTTCATGTCACCACAGCGAAGTGGAGAAAGTACAGATTTGGATATGCCACACAGACCGGCCAGTTGCAGCACATACCACTTACTATCTCTCCACATTAGTTTCATCATCAGCAAAAGAACTATGGAATAACCACCTCCTCCAAGGATGTTAGGCGACCAAACGAAATACTGTGTGTGGAAGCACCTGACCACAAAGCCAGGGCTCAGTGAAGATTAGTTTTCCTTTCCCTCCTACCAGCCCAATCCTACCCTGAGGCTCACCCACTCCCTTCTCAGGACTGATGTTCGGCCAAGACACCTGTGGGATATAAGACAGGTGTCTGCCCAGCTTGGCTGCATTTGGGCTGTACTGCTTGTTAAATATTGTTATTATCACATTTGCCTCTTCCCCCATCCTCCATCCCATCCTAATTCACCCAGAGTCAATAAGGAGTCTTCCACGCTTGAGACCTTAGCCATCTCATAAAGTTTTCATACCAGAGGCCCCCAAGTCATAAATCCAAGGACAATCTGTTTTGAAACACTTGTGTGATATCAAATTATTCATTCAAAGATAAAGGCCAATTGCACCCAGCTACAACTGCAGCTGCTACACATAGCCTACTTTCCCTGTCCAGGAAGCTGCCTGATCCCAGCTGGCCAAATCCAATCCTCAGAAGATGAATGGCAAAGAAGAAACATCCTTCCCTTTTCCGGTAGCTAGAGCCATCTTCGTGGAAGGGGAATCACAACCACCTCCTCAACTTACACTGCCCATAGAGCAGAGGTCCCCAACCATTTTGGCACCAGGGACCAGTTTCTTGGAAGACAATTTTTCCATGGACCGGTGTGGGGGTAGGTAGGGGTGGTTCAGGCAGTAATGCGAGCGTTGGCAAGCGCAGAGGAAGCTTTGCCCGCTCACCCGCCGCTCACCTCCTGCTGTGCGGCCCGGCTCCTAACAGGCCGTACTGGTCCGTGGCCCGGGGGTTGGGAACCCCTGCCACAGAGAACACAAGTTTAATTCAATGTATTCATCCATTATGTATTTACTTACCATACACATACACATATAAAGATGGTATCAACTGAGAATTTATGAAGGGGGAGCAGGACCCCACCTACCTCTAACAGAAGGCAATATGCATAATAATAACCGTAAGTGTCACCACAAACTGCTGCTCTAGAAGTTAGAATAAAAGAGAAAATACTTTCAGCTGAGACGTGGTAGAACTTCAGAGAAATTTTTAAGAAGGACACACAGCCTAGTGGTTCTCAGCATGTAGTCCCCAGGCCTGGGAGCTTGTTTAGAGATGCACATTCTTGGGTTTCTCCAGATCTGATGAATGAGAAACTGGGGTAGGGCCCAGCAATCTTGTTTTACATGCCCTCCAGGTAACTCTGATGTTAGCTCAGGTTTAAGAACCACTGCCCTAGCATATAGGCCAGGCCTAGAAAAGTATGATTTTGAAAGAGACAGATGGGTCAATTAACCTACAGGAAAAAAAAAACAAGCAAATCCAAGAGCTGGGTTCTCAGAACACTCCTAATTCATCAGTTACAGGACATAGCCACAAGTGTCTAATCTTGTACAACACAAATTAACAAAGTTTAAACATCAGTACAAATACACTGAGCCAGAGTGAGAAGAGTCAGGGGGAACAGAGTGCCACAGGTGCAGGCACCAGAATCCCTTTAAAGCTGGATTTGAACCCCCGTTTCCCTACTTATTAGTTGTGTAGACCAGGCAAGCCTCTAATCCTCCATCCCACACTGGTTAAATGGAAATATAACTGGATCACTTCCCAAGGTTTTTATGAGGGTTAACGAGACATTTAATTATATACCTGAAGCACCAACACAGCACCCAGCAGGAAATTCTCAATGAATATGCTCATCTTTCCTTGTCCTAATTAGGGAAGAACTTGGGATCATTAACAACTGAATATCGAGTTCAGTCCTGAACCATCCTTCTTCCAGCACAGCACTGAAAACATCTATAAACGTTAGATGTATAATGAATCTGGAAACCATAATTCTTTCCAGAGACAAAGATAATCAGGTAGGCTCTTTTCATGACTGTCAGTGTTTGAGAGCCAAGGGGACCATTGGATATCATCTTACATCAAGCCTCTCCTTTCACAATGTCCTCATCAGCCACACTCTTCAGGGCTCTATGGGGCCCTATGACAGAAGAACAGTCACAACAGTCCTTGGTGAGCACAACAGGCCCCAAGTATCAACCAGAGGTCAGAAGGAGGGTCCACATGAACACAAGAAAATGACTAGAGAGTAGAAAACCAAGTCTCTGGGGTTAGCCTACAAGACAGTGTCCAAGGAATTGTTCAAATGGACTTTGCCTTGCAACATTCCAAGGCTCCTGCTCTTAACCAGGTACCAAAAGGAAGCTGCCACTATTGAGAAGGAAAATTAAAATACCATGCTTTCAATTATCTTGCAGTTTCTTAGAAACATCTAAACATTATTTTGAGACAGATTACCAGCAATGTGAACAAATCTGGTGAGTCACCAAGTCAGGGCCAGCCTGGACTGTTGTACTGTCGTGGCTAAACACCCCAGGACTAGAGTTTTCCACTCAACAGATCCAATGAGCCTCAAGTTCCACTGTGTAAAAAGCACACAGTCCAAGGGCTACTGAACAGTCAGGGTTAGGAGATCTATTGTGCCAAGGCACTGGCCCACCATATCCAGGGCAACTTGGAAACATACCAGCAGGCTAAGATGCAAAGCCCCGTGAAGAGAATGATGGGGATGGGGTAGGACGCACAGAACAGCCCATGGTTGTAGAAGGCCTGAGATATCTTCTCACGCAGCCTTTCAGTCAGGGTCATCCTCAGCTGAAGTCACCTTGCTGCCATCCCGGAAAGTGACCATGGATCAGCCTGGCACACGTTGGGCAGCACTGACAATGGACACCATCTGCAGGCAGGCACCTGGCAAGAAGGGAGAAAAGCCAATTAACAAAGAGTACTTGGCTCTCAACACTAGGGCTGCTGGGGGAGGTGGCAGGGACGTGGACAGGGAATCAGGAGGCCTACATGCAAGATCTGGAGACATCAATCCCAAAACACACACACACACACACACACACACACACACACACACACACACACAGAGTCTTGGTCGGCTCCTAGTGACTGTGGGTAGTGTCTAAGTAAGTCTAACCAAAGAAACAAAAAAACTGCCTCTCTAGCTCTGGTAATAAACTCTCAATCCTCTTCCATATTAGGCACTTCTAAAAGGCCACTCCCTAGAGAGGGCATTTTTCTCACACGTGGCACAGGAAAGTACTCCTGTGTAACAGACAGCACCTTCAGTTGCTCTTGGCCAAATGGACATTCTGGAAACCCTCCCCCCCATTCTCTGTGCACAGGCCAGACCGAGAGAAATCCTTGGGAAACCTTTATACAAGGTCTGATCCCTCAAAAAACACATTCTTACACAAACAGTGATTCACTGATAAATAAAGTCCAGTGGGGTCAGCCCTCAACACAAAAACACCAAAAAGCCTAGGCCCCTGACATAAAACAAAATTCACTGTGACAGTGGTATTGGGTAGATGTCTCTGCTCCTGGTCCCCCAGTTGTTCCTGGGAGGGTGAGGGCAAAGGGCCCCTCCTATTTCTGCCTGCCCAGCAGCTGTCTCCTTGGAGTAATAGCAGTCCGGTGTGGCTCTGAGAACCACCTTTCTCCACAGGATTTGGCCTGGACATAACGGCCAGTTAAGGTGCCCCTCCCTGACCCCCGCCAGGCTGGTTAGGCCTCTCTCCCTGGCCTTTGACTTCTGAGCAGAAAGAATCAAAACTGGATTCAAGGGCTTCCCTGGTGGCGCAGCGGTTGAGAGTCCACCTGCCGATGCAGGGGACACGGGTTCATGCCCTGGTCTGGGAAGATCCCACATGCCGTGGAGTGACTGGGCCCGTGAGCCATGGCCGCTGAGCCTGCGCATCCGGAGCCTGCGCGTCCGGAGCCTGTGCTCCGCAACGGAAGAGGCCCGCGTACTGAAAAAAAAAAAAAAAAAAAACTGGATTCGGTGGTGTTTATTCTTCCCCAAGAGGTTCCTGCTCCCCAGATCACGGGCTGCTCTGGCTCCAGCCCTTTCTGAAGACGAGCTCATCAGCTCTTCTTTCCAGTCTGTGAGCCACCCCATATCCTTCCAATAAATACTCTTTTGCTTGTGTAAGCCAGTTAATTTCTGTTGCTTCCAAGTAGAGAAACTTAAACCAATAAAATCAGAATAGAAAACTCTAGCAGAAGGGCCCAGGAATCTAGAATTCCTTTCCTTACTGAGCTCGCTGATGAAATTCAAGTTTAAATCCACTTCTCCTGTTCCATGTTGCTGTTTTCTTTCGTCTGTGCTACAGGGAAGCTGCCCAGACATGTATCTTGGCTTGATTCAGCTCACGGATGAAAACCCAGGCCAAGGAGATGATTCCTCAGAAGTGTGAGACCAGAAGGGAGAAGCAAAAGGAGTCACACCACAGCCAATTCACAAGAAGGAATGGCTACCACTCCATCCACCTTCCTGGAAGCACAAGTCTCAGGCGCACATGCAATTTTCCAGTCCAAGAACCCTCTAAGGAAATAGTACAAAGAACCCGCTGTGGGTCAATTCAGAAGGCAACAAAACAGATAAGAGGAATTGGCAGGTGACAGCGGCTGACCCAAGGAGCAGAGGTGCTGACAACAGCTCAACCATTCACAAGACTCACCTGGAACATAACAGCTCAAAAAGGTCTCAAGCAGTAGACCTGCAGCAGGGCACCAGCAACAGTGCTCACCACCCAGCATAAACAAGGACTCCAGGGAAGCAACGTTTCTGCTCCTGTGTCCCCAACCCTCCGTTCTACTTCAAGGGGGAAAACAAACACTAATGAGATATATGCCTGTGGAAAGACGCTGTCAAGAGGATCCCTGAAGACTGATGGCCATGAACAAGTTGTAGCTTTTCCAACCTCAGTCCTCTGCCAAGCCCCACATCTCTTCCCTTAAGTATCCCAAAACAAAGCCCTCCAGGAAATTGCGATCCTACTAATCTTAATCTCCTTCTCAGGCCTCTTCCGCACACAAATAGGTAACACAAGAAGCAGGGGGCAGGGGCGTGGGTGGGTTCTCTTATACATGGAACTACTAATATGAGAAAAAAACCCATCTCACTTCAATTCTGCAGCAAATACAAATCTTTCTGACATGACCTTAGTCGTTTTCAGTTTCCATTAATCCTTATTAGTTATACTAATTGCTAATTTTCACAGCACCAGGAAAACAAAATTAAAAAAAAAAAAAAGAAATTCAAATTCTAGTTCATTACACAGCCCACCTACCTGAACCAAGCAAGAGGGGAGTTATTCATCTTTACTTCACTGTATTCATTTTAACGCAAAGCTTTTCCAAAGTAAAATTTATCCTAAGAAACTGCCAAAATATTTTCCAGAGTGCCCATACCATTTTACATTTTCACCAGCAGCATGAGACCTCGTTTCTTAGCATCCTCACCAGCGTTTGGTATTGTCACTACTCTTTATTTTACCTGTACTAATAAGAGTGTATTAGTATCTTATTGGATCTTAATTTGCATTTCCCTAATGGCTAGTGACACTGAACCTGTGCATGTGTGCATGTGTCTGTGTATTCCTTAAGACATTATATATATGAGATCATGTAATTTGCAAATAGAGATAGTTTAACTTCTTTTCCAATCTGGATGCCTTTTGTTTTTCTTGTATAATTGTTGTGGCTAGAACTTCTGGTACAATGTTGAATTGCAGTGGTGAGAATGCATTTTATTCCTGATCTTAGGAAAGGAGCATTCAGTCTTTCACCTTAAGTATGGTATTACATGGGAGTTTTTCATATAAGCCCTTTATCAAGTTGAGGGAGTCCCCATCTATTCCTAGTTAGTTGAGTGGTTTTTTTTTAATCATGAAAGTGTATTACGCTTTGTGTCTTTTGAGATGATCATGTGGTTTTTTTTGTTTTGTTTTGTTTGTTTTGTTTTGGTACGCGGGCCTCTCACTGTTGGGGCCTCTCCCGTTGCAGAGCACAGGCTCCGGACGCACAGGCTCAGCGGCCATGGCTCACAGGCCCAGCCACTCTGCGGCATGTGGGATCTTCCCAGAGCGGAGCACGAACCCGTGTCCCCTGCATCGGCAGGTGGACTCTCAACCACTGCGCCACCAGGGAAGCCTGATCATGTGGTTTTTAATTTATCCTACTAATAAGGTGTATTACACTGACTCATTTTTTTCTCGTATTGAACCAACTTTGCATCCCTGGGTATAATCCCTTTAAATGTTGCTAGACTCCGTTTAATAATATTGAGAACTTCTGCATCTATATTCATAAGGGATATTGGTGTGTACCTTTTTTATGTCTTTGTCTAGCTTTGGTATTAGGGTAATGCTGACCTTGTAGAATAACTTGGAAAGTGCTCCTTTGTACTTTTATAGAACAGTTCATGATAAATCTTTAAACATCTGGTAGAATTTACTAGTGAAGCCATCTGATCTTGGGATTTTTTTTGTTTAATTAATTTATTTTATTTATTTATTTCTGGCTGCATTGGGTCTTCGTTGCTACGCGCCGGCTTTCTCTAGTTGCAGAGAGCAGGGAGCTACTCTTCGTTGTGGTGTGCATGCTTTTCACTGTGGTGGCTTCTCTTGTTACAGAGCACGGGCTCTAGATGTGCAGGGGCTTCAGCAGCTGTGGCAGGCGAGCTCTGTAGTTGTGGCTTGCAGGCTCTAGAGCACAGGCTCAGTAGTTATGGCACACAGGCTTAGTTGCTCCGCAGCATGTGGGATCTTCCCAGACCAGGGCTCGAACCCATGTCCCCTGCATTGGCAGGTGGATTCTTAACCACTGCGCCAGCAGGGAAGTCCTTGGGTTTTTTTCTGTGTGGGAAGTTTATAAACTATTAACCTCTTTGCTTGTTACATTTATTCAGATTTTCTATTTCTTCTTGAGTAAATTTTGTTAGTTTGTGTGTTTCTAGGAATTTGCCCATTTTCACCTAGGCTACCTAATTTATTGGCATAATATTTGCTGTTCAAAGTATTATAAATCATTTTTATTTCTGAAAGCTTGGTGTTAACGTCCCCACTTTCATTAATGATTCTAGCTGTTTGAGTCTCTTTTTTCTCAGTTGTTGATCTTTTAAAAGAGCAAACTCTTGCTTTTTTACTCTATTATTTTAGTCTCTATTCATTTGTTCCCACTCTAGCCTTTATTATTTTCTTCCTTCTGTTTGCTTTGGGTTTATTTTGCTCTTCTTTTTCGTCTTGCTCTAGTTTCTTAAAGTTACTGATTTGAGCTCTTCCTTATTTTTTTAATTAATTTTATTTTTTTATACAGGTTATTAGCTACCTGTTTTATACATATTAGTGTATATACGTCAATCCCAATCTCCCAATTCATCCCACCACCACGACCACCACCCCCTGCTTTCCCCCTTGGTGTCCCTATGTTTGTTCTCTACATCTGTGTCTCTATTTCTGCCATGCAAAACAGTTCATCTGTACCATTTTTCTAGATTCCACATATATGCGTTAATATGCGATATTTGTTTTTCTCTTTACTTCCACGTCTCTACAAATGACCCAATTTCGTTCCTTTTTATGGCCGAGTAATATTCCATTGTATATATGTACCACATCTTCTTTATCCATTCGTCTGTCGATGGGCATTTAGGTTGCTTCCATGTCCTGGCTATTGTAAATAATGCTGCAATGAACACTGGAGTGCATGTGTCTTTTTGAATTATGGTTTTCTCTGCGCATACACCCAGTAGTGGGATTGCTGGGTCATATGGTGATTCTATTTTTAGTCTTTTAAGGAACCTCCATACTGTTCTCCATAGTGGCTGTATCAATTTACATTCCCACCAACAGTGCAAAAGGGTTCCCTTTTCTCCACACCCTCTCCAGCATTTGTTGTTTGTAGATTTTCTGATGATGCCCATTCTAACTGGTGTAAGGTGATATCTCATCATAGTTTTCATTTGCATTTCTCTAATAATTAGTGACGTTGAGCAGCTTTTCATGTGCTTCTTGGCCATCTGTATGTCTTCTTTGGAGAAATGCCTATTTAGGTCTTCTGCCCATTTTTGGATTGGGTTTTTTTTTAATACTGAGCTGCATGAGCTGTTTATATATTCTGGAGATTAATCCTCTGTCAGTTGCTTCATTTGCAAATATTCTCTCCCATTCTGAGGGCTGTCTTTTCGTCTTGTTTGTAGTTTCCTTTGCTGTGCAAAAGCTTTTAAGTTTCATTAGTTCCCATTTGTTTATTTTTGTTTTTATTTCCATTACTCTAGGAGATGGATCAAAAAAGATCTTGTTGTGGTTTATGTCAGCGTGTTCTTCCTATGCTCTCCTCTAAGAGTTTTATAGTGTCTGGTCTTTCATTTAGGTCTTTAATCCATTTTGAGTTTATTTTTGTGCATGGTGTTAGGGAGTGTTCTAATTTCATTCTTTTAAATGCAGCTGTCCAGTTTTCCCAGCACCACTTATTGAACAGACTGTCTTTTCTCCATTGTATATCCTTGACTCCTTTGTCATGGATTAGCTGACCACTGGTGCATGGGTTTATCTCTGGGTTTTCTATCCTGTTCCATTGATCTATATTTCTGTTTTTTTGCCAGTACCATATTGTGTTGATTACTGTAGTTTTGTAGTATAGTCCGAAGTCAGGGAGTCTCATTTCTCCAGCTCTGTTTTTTTCCCTCAAGATTGCTTTGGCTGTTCTGGATCTTTTATGTCTACATACAAATTTTAAGATTTTTTGTTCTAGTTCTGTAAAAAAATGCCATTGGTAATTTGATGGGGATTGCATTGAATCTGTAGATTGCTTTGAGAAGTACAGTCATTTTCATAATATTGATTCTTCCAATCTAAGAACATGGTATATCTCTCCATCTGTATCTGTCATCTTTGATTTCTTTCATCAGTGACTTATATTTCCTGAGTACAGGCCTTTTACCTCCTTAGGTAGATTTATTCCTAGGTTTTATTCTTTTTGTTGCAATGGTGAATGAGATTGTTTCCTTAATTCCTCTTTCTGATCTTTCGTTGTTATAGGAATGCAAGAGATTTTTGCGCATTAATTTTGTATCCTGCACCTTTACCAAATTCATTGATTAGCTCTAGAGTTTTCTAGTAGCATCTTTAGGATTATCTATGTATAGTTATCATGTCATCTGCAAACAGTGACAGTTTTACTTTTTCTTTTCCAATTTGGATTCCTTTTATTTCTTTTTCTTCTCTGATTACTATGGCTAAGACTTCCAAAACTATGTTGAATAAGAGTGGCAAGTGTGGACATCCTTGTCTTGTTCCTGATCTTAGAGGAAATGTTTTCAGTTTTTCACCACTGACAACGATGTTTGCTGTGGGTTTGTCATATATGGCCTTTATTATCTTGACGTAGGTTCCCTCTGTGCCCACTTTCTGGAGAGTATTTATCATAAATGGGTGTTGA